AGCTGGGAGTCATGGTCCTCTGAGAAGCCTAGATTGTTTTAACTAGTAAAGAAGAACAAACTATGTTTTCTAAAGCTTCTTGCGTTATAATACAAACGTGTATAACTTACAATCTCTGTATGTTTAACTGATTTTTCGGTGGGAGATTATTTGTGGGACTACTTACCACTGAGGCATTGAGGCGGCCCATGGAAGGAGACTCTCCTGGTTCACAGTTTTTAAACAGTTCTGCTAGGTGGGTGGGGTTGGTGGCCCATTTGACATCAGTCAGGCCTTTGCCCCAAGCTGAGGAGGAGACGAGCCACAGAAAGGCGAAGGCAGCGGTCACCAGCAGGTCCTGGTAGAGATAAAAACGTTCAGCTTTATTGGAAAAGAACGGCAGAGTTAGCCAATGCACGTCATTTGATAAAAGCCATATTAATATCATCTTCTATTTACTCGTATGATTCAAACCAGAATATTAGTTTTGTCATAAGATGCCCAGGATGGCTTTATAGAAATAACTCAGCATTGCTCTCTTGTGGTGCGGTAAGCAGCTGGCCTACATCTGGCTCAGAAATCTATCCGATCCACCATGGTGCTGTGCCTGCATGCTAGCTTGTATCTTTAAGACCCTTAAACTGTGGGTTTACCAGCAGGTGGACACTCAACTTATCCAAAGTTTTTGTGGAAGGAACCATCGGAGGGCCGATGGAGGGGGGTCATCAAATTAGGACTGCAACTAACGATTATTTTGCAAACCCATTAATCTGTTCATTCTTTCTTCAACTAATGGAATAATAATCGGATAGCCAGAGGTTCCTTAAAGACGATTTTTTATTAAAATGAAAAGGGTAAAACTTTTCCAGTTGAGGAGTTCTGAGTAGAGAATATTGACAGAAGGATTTCTGTTTTTATCTTAAATGCAAAATGTTTATTTTTTCACAATCTTGATATAATTGCTGCTCTCAGCAGGTGTCTGCTAGCTAATGGCATGTTTTACAGTCTCTATACTGCAGTTAATGATTAATCAATTACTAAATTAGATGACGATTATTTTAATTATTGATTAATCCGATAAATCAGATCGTTTCAGCCCAAAACCAAATAAAAACAAAAAGTCATTAACATCTCAGAAACACCCTGATTTTTGCCTCAGATCAGTTTTTTTTCTTCATAGTAACACAATAAAATTAGCCTTTTCAAAACTATGGAACCCCGAATGATTCATAATTAAATAAATAAAAAACTTTATGAAATAAATACCATTTTGATAAATA